CCTGCTCCATCTCCCAGCCCAGCAGGGCCCCCAACTGCAGGACAATCCTGCTGCCAATGCCGTCCTGCTGGGCAAGCCCTGGAAGAATCTCCTTCCCCTTCCCTGTGGCATGGAGGCAAATCCCATCCTCTCCTTTTCCTTCCTGCCCCAGACAAGAAGCTGAGGATGGAGACCAAGGAGGACAAAGGCCCGCGGCAGAACCTCATGGAAGAGGCTGTTTTAAATGATGCCACAGGGCAGGAATCCAACGGAGAAGAAAAGCCACAGAGATCTCATAGGAGGAAGGGCTCCAAACCCAGCCCAGGTTGCTCTGAGGAGGAAAGACCCACTCTCTGTCAGGAAGGTGGGCAGAGCTTCAGCCAGGGATCAGAGCTGGTCGTCCATGAGCAGCTTCATGATGGGGAGAAGCCCTACAAGTGCTTGGAGTGTGGGAAGAGCTTCAGGCAGAGCAGCACCCTGATCCGCCACCAGATGATCCACTCTGGAGAATGGGCCTACAAGTGTGGGGAATGTGGGAAGGGCTTCAGCTGCAGCTCAGAACTTGTCAGGCACCAACGCATCCACACTGGGGAGAGGCCCTATGAGTGCCCTACTTGCCGGAAGAGGTTTGCCACCAGCTCCAATCTCCTCATGCATGAGCGGATTCACACGGATGAGAGGCCCTTCCGCTGCACTGAGTGCAGGAAGGGCTTCAAGCACAACTCCATTCTTGTCACCCACCGGCGCATCCACACTGGGGAGAGGCCCTATGAGTGTCCCCAGTGTGGGAAGGGCTTCACCAGCAGCTCTAACTTGACCCAACACAAACAGAGTCACCAGTAAGGGAAGCCCTGCAAATGCCCCAACTGCAGGAAGAGCTTTGTGCACTGCTCCAGTTTCATCCCCCACTGGAGGACCCACGCTGGTCAGAGCCCTGGTGATCCATGTTCACTGTGATCCATGCTGGGATCTGTTCCTTTTCCTGCCCCTGCCAATGACATGATGTGGGATCAAAGAACATGAGGTTCTGGCCAGGGCCGTGTCATTATATTCACTCCCACCTCAAGTCATTGCCAGGGGCAGGAAAGGGACTCTCTCTCTCTCTCTCCCCCCGAGGAGAAGGCTGTCCTTCCCAGACAGGAGGAAATTGTGGCCGGGAAAAGACAGCCACTTGTGTTGCATTTTTCCCTTTTTCATATCCCTTCTATTATCAATATTGTTTTTATTTCTGTTTGTTTTTTATCTCGTTGTTGTTCCCAATAAATTGTTCTTATCCTAGCCCTGGACCTTTCCCTTTTGTGCTTTCCATGGAAGGTGGGAGGGCAGCGAGTGGCAGCGTGGTTTTAGTGGGACAGGAAATTGGGGAATCCCATTCCTAAACCCCAACCCATGGAAACCAAGCATCCCAGGTGGTCCCAGCCCTGGTGGCCATGGCAACAGCCTTGGGAGAGAGTCCCTGGCTGGGGCTGTGGGAACCTCTTCCCTCTGGTGCCCAGGGACACGACTGCAGG